AAATATTATTGCATTACAACAAAAATATTGTTGTCAAGGCAGTGATTATATATATTTCATTTTTCCTCATCTGTACTATAATTTCCGTACGCCACTGAAAGGGACGGATTAAGACAAAAACGTCAGTCATTTTTGAGAATTCTGTGCCTACTATTTTGGAATTATAGTATAGTATAGTATAGTTGGTCGCTTAATAAGAAATTTGATTGTTTTCTACTTCATGTCGAAATCAAGTTTATTCTCTAAAAGGTGGCAAACATTAGTGGAATTTTTTCTTTGGTGCAGAACTTTTTAAATAATTCGAAATTCTCGTTTTGAAATTTCTAGACGTTTTTCCTATATAAACTTCAATATTCTATCCACATGTTAGCTTGTAGACACCTGACTCATTAGCTTTATCTCTGTTTGACTTGGTGTTTTTTATATCTTCCCAAAAGTCCTAGTCTTGTTATGCTATGTTAATGGTCTGAAGTCTTTCCAATTTTATGATGATTTTCCGGTAAATGTGAATTTTTTATAGGTGTTAGTACTATTTTTAATGTAAGGATATATATGGCCTGTCTGAATAGTTTGAATGTGATATGAAGAATCGTGTTCGGGTTGAAGTTGTTATTTACAGTAATTTGTTTTATCAAATTTACCTACTTCCTTATGAAAATTTCCCGTGGACATCGGGATATTGACGAAAATGTGGATCATACTATGGTAAGTTGCTAATTTATGCTGATGGAGGTGATTAGAATGGTTGTTAATAGGTGTGTCTGTATTATGTAGGTTTTGCAAAGTCATGATTTTGTTACTGAATTAAAAGTTTGATTTAGATATGTTGACAATAATGAAAGGAAATCAGAATGAATTAATGGATTCGTGTGATTTTTGAGAATAATTTCTTCCATGAGTTTGTATGAATCTTCTGGAGGAATGTTTGTTACATGGAAACAAATCAATTTTGAATTAGATGGAAGTAAAATATTGGAAATATGATTTATTAGTTCAGTGAGTTTTAGGTTCTGAACAAAGATGAGAAGTGTAGTTTTTGATGGTACTTACCAAGAATTTATGGGATATGATGGGATTAGATTCTTTATGAAGATAAACAAATGAGTATAATTGTGGAGTGTATGGATTAGACACGATGTATTTGTATCTATGCTCAAGTTTCATGAGGGAGGTAGCTTGTTGGATGGATATTTTTATTGTTGTTTGAGTCGAGGGTTTTGTTTATGTAAATGACCCTAAAAGCAGAACTCTACAAGCCATCAAGGTGTCATTTGTTAACAAGAATGTTGCAAAGATGCAGGAAATAGGGAAAACTTCAACAAAGTCAATGTAATGTCAGATTCGTTTTCAGTGAGTAAGACATTACATTACATTTGGATATGTTGAGAGATAGATTATATTCTTTCGACACCATGTAGCAACACGATTTAAATTAGAACATTAGAACATGTTATATTGTGATAGAGTTTCAAGTCATCTGTGTATAAAAGGAAATTGACATCAATCTCACCTCCGATATCATTGATGAACATATTGAACAGAAGGGGTCCTAGGTTTGACCCTTGTGATACACCAGATGTGGGCTACATATTCGACAGACTTGAGGCCATTGAGTTGAACATACTGCTTACGGTTGTAAAAATACGATCTGAAGAGAGTAATCAAGTCACTGGATATGGTCAAGTCTGCCGAACGCTTCAGAAAAATCAGTGTAGATGACATCAGTCTGAGAATGACAATCAATACCCTCCGCAATAAATTGAGTGATTGTTACAAGATCGGTGATGGTTGAACGTCTTTTCATGAAACCGTGTTGATTGGGGCTAATAATGTTGTTGACATGACAATAGATTATCTTTTCAAGAAGCACTTCAAACACTTTACAAAAGTTGCATATGATAGAAATTGGTCTGTAATTTTTTATCTCCTTTTTTTGAAAATTGGACAGACTTTCGACATTTGCCATATTGAAGGTACAGTTGATGTTTTCAGGCATATATTAGTTAGAGTTATTAGTGGTTCAACCAGAGCTGAGGAAGAATATTTAATGACGAATGCTAGAATATGGTCAGGTCCTGCAGTAAATTTACGCTTCAATATTTTAAGGGTATGATAAACATCTTCAATACTAAAGTTTTTGATTACTATGCCGGGAATATAACTACTGTTGTTCGCATGGTCACTTGATGTTGACACTATATAAGAACCACTGAAGAAATCTGCAAAACCATCAAGAATATCTGAGGGATTATCATTTAACATTTTATCTCCGATTCCAAAAATATATTTTTACTTGTTAATGAGTGACCAAAACTTATTGGGGTTATGAATAATCTCGCTCTCAGGTGTTCAAAATAATGGTTTGGTATCGGGATAAAACTCCAGTAATATCCATAAATCGGTGTTCATATTCCACATAAATGCTAAAATTTGTATTTTGAAACTAGGTTTTTTGAGTTTATCCTGACATATATCCCTTGTTCACCAAATTCAATCAACCGGAATGTGTACAATATCATCGTTTTAAAAACTTTGTTTTCAAGTAAATGCTTTCTTGATAAAATAAAGATAAAATCCCGAGACCATAGGTCAAATTATTGTACACTTAAGTCATTTGCCTAGCAGAATTTAAAAATCTATCGATTTGCACACATTTTAACTGATTAAACTTGATGAACTTACGATATAAACTCTTGAAAAAAGTATATTCTGTTCTATTAATATTTGATGAGCTATAACACAATTTCCAAATATTTTTCATGTTCTTTCGGAGTCGTAATCTAGGCGTCAAATACGTAAGATACACTTTTTTTTTCAAAATTTGCGGGTGCAGCCTGTCAGACATTTTACCTAAAAGATAAATTACCCAGTGAAATTGTAATATATTCAGAAATTATATTTCTTGATTTGAATTTTGCCAAGATGCTAAAATTTATTTAAATTATGTTAGGCATTTAAGATCGATATTTTATGATATAAATTTACTGTTTCACTGTACCTGATAGCTGTACGTAGTTTATTATACATTTTTATGTATGAGACTTGTTATTTCCGAAATAAATAATGAAGGTAATGTGAATATTTCATGTTTGATAAAGAGTGGCTTAGATGAATCTCTTCTAGTCACTTTATATAAGTACCCGAGTTATTTTTTCTTCAGTACGAAGATGGATTGAAAACGTTCATCAATGCATAAGCCACATGCTCATGAGAGGTTACTACCCAGTTTTATGAAAAAATTGACTTGATGAAATATGACGAAACACTTCCTATATTTCAAGTATATGTTGCCGTATGTATGGAAGAGAGGATTATTTGTTATTGTAGAAAGTTGGAAATAACAAAACTGAATCATTTGAAAACCTTATCAGATGATAACTACTGTTACATCAAGAACTTTGATATTAGTTTATCTAGGGCATTCTTTTTTTTGGAGCTTTATACTTTCCCAATAAATTTAAAAGAATAAAGCTGACAAGAGACAATTTGACTAAAATGTTAGGAAGATAGTCAGTGGTAATACATCAGGGTGATGAATGAGGGAATGGGCACTATCTGATATTCTTTGGAATAGTTGAGTTATACAGAATTAGTATTAATCAAGATATTAATATACATTTTTCTGCAGAAATATTCCAACTTACTGTTAACTAGACAAGTTATTACTGGTTCATTATATGTTGTCAGTAATGAAAAAGTAACAAATTGTAGTCAATTCTTCTAATTTCCTATAATTCTGTAAATGAAATTAAATTACTAGAGCATATTAAAATATTCAATCATAAATTGTGGTAATAGAGAGGACAAATCAATTATCAATATAACAAGATGAAAATCTCAGCAAAAAGATAGAATAGATGATTCTGGAGGAGATAATAAAAAATCTTTTGCTTGGACACGAAAATAATGAATCTTCGTCTTAATAGGCGACATAAATATTTTCAACTAATTTGAAAAAAAACAAGGTATTCAAATATAACTACCAAAACATGTCACATTGAAAAAATAAATTAGGCACTTACAATTTTCAGATTCTTTTGATATATAGCTGCCATGGAAATTGAAGAGGTCTCCTTGAAAAGTAATGACACGCTTTACTATTAAAAACACGTTAATTGATTTTTTTAATTGAACAAAATTGAATGAAACAACAAGATTGTATCGCAAGGTGTCAGTTCAAATTGTCAAATATCAAATTATTTTGAAGGTCATAAGTCATAACAAAAATAAACGCCAACTGTCAACGCGGATCGACAGAATAAAGAAATTACAGAGGTTGAAGTAAACAACATAGCATAAACTTTGAACTCTAGATTCTTGCACCGAGTTAAATTTATCACAAAACAAATTTCAGTTCTGTGTCACTTATTCCTAGCAGCGATTTCATTGTTAACACTGTTTCACACATTTGTGTTATTGTTTCTCTAGTACTGGATATATATCTTGCTGTAATTAATAAAAGGCGTTCTCGATTGGCGTTTGGTATCATCAGTGATTGACATGAAACTGACATCATTTCGTAGAGTACTTGAGTAGAATATATTACTATTGTATTCAATGAACTTGGATTGGAATGGAAATATTGAAACTACGTCGAACAGTAAAACAAAAACAACGTCACGTCAGGATTTCTTTAAAAATCATTATGGTTTCAAGTGCTTCACATTTGAGAAAATGTTTCATGTTACTTGTTCATTAGTTTCTCATGCACCAAAACACTACTTTCAAAAATTAAACAACTGAAAACATAGCACATCACAGTAATAATAATGATAATATTCCTTTATTTTATCATTTGAATGCGCAAAGGTTACATAAATGATTAAAAACGTCAATACACGTTCACATTCAGTAGTACGGATGTACAATTTATCATTGCATGTATCTATTTGTGGAACGAACTAACCTCGGTGTTAGAAAATGTTTTTTTATATTTGCAGTGTTGCCGAGATTATTGTCTCCGAACACCAGAAATTTGGCAATCTTGTTCCTTGTTCCAAGTTTTATGTAGTAGTAACAAAATGTCATCGGAACGACCGCCTGAATGTCCTGATAATATTTGTTTTTGTAAGATTTATTAAATGCTTTCGACTCAAAATAATGTTTTTTCGATGGTATTTTGACTTGAAAGTAAGTTGAACTAAACAGATTTGTATTGAACATTAATGTGATAGACTGATCTCGTAGAAAGTAGCAAATGGAACATCATTGTTTATTGGAAAGTCCTAAAATCAGCTGAACGCAACTTTTATAATCTTATATGTGCAAGATTATCCATATGAACGACACACCTTCGTCAATACTATAATAGAATAACTGAAAATATGGTAAGTTTTCATTAGGTCATTTTCTTGGGTTATTAATATTTTACTGCACTGACTACTCATGAATTTTCAGCAAGCTGACGATCCTCCTTATCTTTCTGTTGGAACAGCAGTAAGTGCTAAGTATAAGGGTGCTTTTTGTGAAGCTAAAGTCAGCAAAGTTGTTCGAACTGTGAAATGCAAGGTTAGTAACAAAAGGAAAAACAGGAACTTCAATTCATTTGTTAATGTTTCTAGGTAACATACAAAATGGGACTAGGAAGTGCAACACTTAGTGATGAACAAATTAAAGGAACACTTAGAGTAGGACAACTAGTTCAAGCTAAGCATTCTGATCGGAAAGAGTTGGTAGATGCCACTGTCACTAAAATACAAGACTGCAGCCAGTACACTGTTGGTGAGTTTGATATTAAAAAAGACTTCACACTCCTTATCCTCTCAGGTAACCTGTAGTCATACATAGCAGAATGTGCCGTTCTGGAACTGTATCTGTGAACTATTTTTTGGAATATACTCTACGGTAGCCATTATGGCATACTGAAGATATTACAGTTGATTGGTCGACATTGAGATTGGAAAGATTCGCAAGGTTTCCATCTTGATAGGTGTACCTGTACATCAGCTTTATCTAATGATACATTAGATTCAGCTGTGCAGGATCTGTTTGCCTCTAGTTTGGGTGAATTATCATTCCAGCATAAGTGTTTGCTGATCTCTCTTCTCTATTCATATAAACTGTCTTTCGAATTTCAATAGTACTATAGGAACAGTGCTATCATTTAAGGTGACTCAATATGAAGTAGGGTTGAAAACAAAGTCGAAACAGATATAAAAAAATAGTTTTACTATCTCCATTCAGGTTTGCATCCAGTTCCAAACTATGACGGCCTTCAAACCCGAATGAAAATAGTAACGCTGGAAATCTTGGCCGCAAAAGCCTTAACCAGTTTATAAAAAAAATCATTAAAAATTGTGTTGATTGCTAAGAAAATATATACTCAATAAAGAAGTTCAACATATGAACTGTTTAGGAATTGAAATCAATAAAAACCTCAAGAAACATATTCATATAAATTCAAAAGTAAACAAAAATTATATGCACTCCTTTACATTTAAATGTGTGATTTTTTTGTTGTAACACATTTAGACTATTTTATATTTTATTATTTCTGTGAGAACTTTAAAACTATTATGATCCTAGTTTCTAACTTATAACCTATTATATATGCTATTTAAAATGAAATTAATAAATACATCAGTGATGATTAAGTTCAAAAGGGTAGATACTTAGACAAAGGTTAGCAAAACAAACAAATCTAGTCTCTGAACTATCCATAGATACAAGAGAAATAATGTTTGTTACACAGATACAAGACATAGCACAATGAATAGTGAATTCATATTCCACAAAAATACACAAAGCTCTCATGAGAATCAAAATGAACTATGTTTAAAATATGTTTTTCCGTTAACCAGCTGTCGCACTCCTACGAACAACAACTCTCAGAAGCAAAACTTGTGCGAGTTTTGGACTAACGAGGTGTTACCTTTTAACGTGTGATTCCTAAATGGACACTTAAATAATATGAATACTCACCTGGAATCAAGAACGACAACCTTCTGCATTTGTCTGGCTAAGATTTCTGCCATTTTGAGGCGAGCTGGTTTGATCTTAAGATTAGAAAATAATGGAAGAATTCTAAAATCAGAACAAACATTTTAACAGAGTGGCCTGGGTAGAGCCTGCGGAGTTTGAGAGTATATATCAATATCTCATCTACTTTTCCTTTTGGACAGTATTAGCTTTACCTGAAGCAGAAAACTTCACCACAAAGTCATGTTAAGAATCATATGCGGGCCATGCTAATATTTAGGCGTCTCTCGGGCAGGCAGGTATGAGGAACTTTGACTACGGTAGGCCTCTTGCATGGGCCTATTTTTATTGAACCGTAGAAATCAAGACACATTCTTTGGCTACTCTGGTTGCACTCTTATCAAGTTGAGATCTTCATGTCAAGTTGATACGGCTCCTTTCAAGTTCCCCTCACTACTCCAAAAGAGTAGAGTAAAGTCGGTTCAGCAAGCATATTTTCATCAGTAACTTTGTTCTTCTTTGTTAGTATTTCTTTAATTTCATAATTAATTGTTTTATACATTTCTATAGTATTTGACGATGGCGATATTACAACACTACGCCGAACTGCTTTATGCCTGAAAAGTGGAAGGCATTTCAACGAAAGTGAAACTCTGGATCAGCTTCCCCTCACACATCCAGAACACTTCGGAAATCCAGTTGTGGGAGGCAGAAGAGGAAGAAGAAGCAGACAAGCTAAGTAAGTTTAGCGTTTTCATCTACATGTGCAAATTATAACATATTGTATTTTAGGGAAGACAGTAGTGATGGAGAAGTTGAAGAAGAGAATGAGCCAGACCTTGAAGCATATCTTCAAGACATAAAACGAGTTGTCAGTGTCGAGGCTTCGGACAAAAAGCGAGGTAAAGATAATTGGTTTCCTGGCCTTGTGGTCATACCGTCTGCCCAACCTACGGTGAGAATCAACATGAAAGATGAATATTTGATCAGGTCATTCAAAGATGGAAGATAGTAAGTAATACATTGAATGATTAAGTATATTATTAGTTATAAGGTTTAAGCACCAAAATCGTAGCAAGTCGATCCCTGATACAAATTTCATGTTTTGGATTGATTGAAAGATTTCCATTTACTTTTATTTAAATACATAATTACGACATTTAAAATTATGTTTAATCTATTTTAGTAAGATATTAAAAAAAGACTACATACTAATACAATGAAGATCCAATACTATTAAAAATGCGGATGGAGAAGCTATTCAAAAAGCATTGAGATTCCTGGACCACAATGAACTTCCACCTCACTGGGAAAAAAGTTCGTTATTTCATTCACATTCAATAGACAGTGAAAGTGACGAAAATTTCACTGACGTAAGTAGTAAATATGTTATTTTTCCGAAGTAATCCAAGTTTTTCTAAGTGCAAAAAGTAATTTGACTGATACTTCTATTTGATTTAGAGTTCAGATGATGAACCTAGCGAAGAGAAAGACCGATTCGTGGCACAGTTATACAAATTCATGGATGATGCTGGTACTCCTCTTAATAAAACACCTACAATTGCACACAGAGACATAGATTTGCATCGCCTTTTCCGAGCCGTTCAGAAACTAGGCGGTTACAACCGTGTCACCAACCAAAACAAATGGCGTACTGTTACAGCTCGTTTGCACTTACCTAATAACCAGAGTACTTTCAACCAAGTGAAAGGTGTGTATAAGAAATGTCTGTCTAGTTTCGAGACCTTCTATAGGACCTTGGGGGTCACCATGTTGAATCATACCAGGGAGCCGAAAAAAAGCAAAGGCAGGAGCTTGATCAGGTAGGTAATGATATTTTTGAGGGGGACGGTATTAATTTAATTCAAAGCGTATTATTTTAACAGAGACAAAGACAGAAACACTCCTATAAATAGCCCTGGACCTGAAAAGGAAGAAGAGCCTGCAGAAGAAAAAAAAGAGCCTCCAGCTCAACCGCAGACACCTGTCGAGCCCTTAAAATCAAAGAGGATTGAAAAGAGAAAAGCTATGGCTTTGGCTGCGGCGGCAGAAGTGAGCGATACTTGTTCTAGTGATACTACCGATCAATCGGATGCAGCCAAAGACCCTAATAGAACTAGAAGAGAGAGAACGGAGAGCAAGTCGGGTAAAGAAAGAAAGATCAAAGGGCCTACTGGAGAAAAAGTAAAAGCTATAGTGGATAAAATTGAAGAACATGTCAAAAAGGATGAGGAAGAAAAGGTGAGTGTAATCTCAATTCATAATGAAAACAATGAGGTTCAAATATTGAAAAGGGGTACAACCCTATAATATTTCCTCCGCTTCCTGAAAAATTATTATCAATTGAATTACTACTGAAAACCTTATAACCTGCGAAAGTGTTGTTATCAACAGTTACAGTCAGCGACTATACTTGGTAAATAAATATTAATCGAAATTTTATTTAGAGAGAGGGAACTTAATTTTTTCCTGAAAATATATAAAGAATAACTCTTCAGGTGCATGGAAATTTTATTGTAAATCTTTATTCCATTGTATATCAATGAATCCTTTACCATCGTTGTTGTGGGCAGAGGAAGTCTGATCAAGTTAGCTTGTCGTTTATCACCAAGAGTAGAATGTTAGAATTCGTTGTTCAATGAATAATGGTTTGCAGTGTTCTTGGAACTTTGCCTAGCATACATACCGAACAGCTTGCTTCTATAAAACAAAAACAGTCTGCAGCATGCTTTTGCTGCATACTCCTCAGAAGGGAATGCCCTATCTTATATGTGCATCTACAAAGGCAAAGAGCAGATCTTGCAAAGGTTCCACCTAGTTCTCTTGAAACTGTCTTGATAACAAAACAGCCAGATGCGAGTTTTTCATTTAACTTAATAATATGATCCTCGAATTTAAGTTTATTATCTATGTGAACTCCTAAGAATTTGGAGGAAAATTTTACCTCGAAAATGTTGTTATTCAAACTAAACCAAGGAGTTCACATTTGATGGCGAAGAGATGGGTTTTATTGAAGTTTAATGAAATCTTGTTTGAGTCGCACCGGCTCTTTATTATTTCCATATCTTCAGTGGCATCTTGAGCTAGTTTTGTAGGATCTTCTCTCTGCCACAGCAATTTGGTGACATCTGCAGATAATGTGATGCTAGCAGTTGAGTCCAGTTGTGTTATATCATTAATATACAACAAAAACATGACGGGTCCTAGGATGGAACCTTGAGGGACACCTGCTTTGTTTGGAAATCTGATGATCTGTCAACTTGTGTTTCTGAAGTTACTGAGATTATTGAACATAAGTAATTTTTTGAAGAGGAATTTAAGAAAATTTTTATACATATTTTAGGGTATTTTCTCCATTACAATTTTTTTCAGGTCCATAAAGATTAATGAAAAATAACAGGTTATTCTATCAGAAATATATATGTTTATTCCTTTTTTAGTAATGCGATCTACTAATGACAAATAATAGTTCAACAAAAGATGTAGGCAAGCTGTCGCCTCTAAAAATTGCGCCTACCAACAGTTAGGCCTGGTTAAGTTTTTATACAAAAGACTTATGACTGTGATATAATGAAATTGAAATAACAACCACAATTTATCTCCCAATTTTCGTTTTAGGTTCAATTCACACGCTCAAAATCACAAACAAAGATAAAAGAAGTTCCACCTGTCGCTGAAAAAAAGACTGAAAATAAACCAGTGAAAGACACTAAGCAGTCAGTTAAAATTATCAAGAAGGCGACACCAACAACGGCAACTGTAACGCCACCTGTGGATGAAGATAAAAAACGAACCAAGAAACGTGGTCCAGAGGACAAAACTATTCATCCTGAAGCTAGCACTAGTAGCACTACGACATCTGTGCAAGTTAACATTGGAGATAAACTTAAAGTATACTATGGCCCGACCCATGAGTCGAAAGTCACTTATGAGGCCAAAGTGATCGAAATCGATAAGGATCAAGCTGGAACTGTCTATTTGGTACACTATACAGGATGGAATAACAGGTTTGTTGGAGCAATTGTGATAATTAGTCCTCACTAATTCCTTTTTTTTAAGTTACTTTTAAAAGAAATGTTGGGTTATAAAACAAAATTTTTCCCAAAAAGATTGGTACTTCATAGTATCTTCTTCCAGATATGACGAATGGATCCAACCACAAAGAATAGCAGAGAATTTGAGTGCAGCTACCAAGGCAAAAAGGTCTAGGCTGTCTACGTCAAATATAGCAAGTACTAGCAAAGGTAACAATCTGAAATCTCCTGCTAAACGGGGCAGGCTCACCTCGGTTTCGGCACGGTCGGCCACCACAGAGGCTCCCAGATCAACTTCTCCTTCCAGTGTTACTTCATCAAGTAGTAGAACCAAGAGCCCTGGAACTCCTGCGACCAGATCTATGGCTAGGCTGACCAGACAGGGTATGTCAATTTTTCTTTTCTGCAGAGTAAAGTAGCAATTGCAAATTTTTTGTGAGAATCATTTATGATAAAAACATTCACAGAAAACTTCACAGTTTACTTAAAAAAACATGTTGATTTTTACCATTGAGATAATCTTTAACTCAATATAACAAATTGAATCAAATTGTTATCTATTTTCGAAACGTTTCTTACAAAATTGCAGATTCTCTTAAACGGACAAGGAGAACATCTGCCCAAACTGATAACTCAAACCACACTGAATCTGAAAGTGAGGAAGAAATAGGTACGGGTAGCGAATCTGAACTTTCAAGGACTCGCAGTGGGGCCAAAATCGAGGAACCAGAAATTAAGACCTATAAGAGAAGACCACCTAAACCTCCTATATTGGTAGAAATGAAATATATTTTTTCCTTTCAATTCCTTTACAAATTTTTGTCTTTTTCAGACGAAAATGGAGAAACGTAAAGATAAAGATGACGAAGACACGGAAAAAGAGGAAGAACCTGATAAACCGACAAGGAGATTAAGAAAAATCAAACGCTCTCCGGAAAAGTCTACTGAAGAGAGTGAAGATGAGACAAATCCTCCGAAGGGTCGCGATTTTGACCTCAATCAGATCAGGTTGGAACTGAAGGGTTTCAGCAAGGCTATCAAAGTCCCTACACTGGAATCTATAGACAAAGAAATGATATCCTCATCAGACGATTCTAACGAGCCTCCTTGTTTAGAGAAACTCGTTGAAATTGATGAAGAACCAGAAGAAGAGGAAGAAGAAAAGGAGGAAAAACCACTCGAGAAGTGTTCCAGCTCCGAGGATATTTACGAGTTCAAAGAACCGGAGCCTTTCGAATTTGAAAGCAGATCAAAACTAGGAGAAGACAAGAAACGTTTAATGCCGAGGATATTCGAGGATTTGGATAAGTCTCCGAAGAAAAGAAGCAACTCCAAAGCTTCTCCTGATAAGACTGAGAGCACGGAGAGTCCCGACAGGCGACCCTTCCGCAGATTACCTCTACCAAAACAGGAGGAGGATTCTGTAGAAGATTCTGATGAGGACGACGAAGAAGAAGAAGAAACGATCATCCCCATGTCTCCCCCCAGAGAAGAGGAGGATCCCTTCGACAAATTAGTAGAATCGCCTAGCTTCAACATCATCAAATCCATGGAAAAAGTAGTTGACAATAAGGACAAGGTTGTCAGGAATCTCTGTGAGGATTCGCTCAGCCTTTTCAGGGAGTTGCCAGAAACTATCGAAGACTATAGTGGGGATATGGAGCTATCGGATTGCGAATCCCAAACGGAAATATTCACCACCAGTCCAGAGAAAATGGCCAGAGAGGGGGTGGCGGTGGAGCTGTTTTCTGAAACATTTTCTAAGCCTTCTCCCGATTTCTCTAAGCCCTCGTCGCCCGAACACAATACGCTCGATTTGGAGTTTTCCTCTTCTGGCAAGACGAATGAATGCAAAATGAAAGATAGCGATGACGAAGATTCAATTCGAGAGCAAATTCAACGCGTGATTGCGCAGAGTTCCTCAACTGATGAGGACAGCAATGATGTTCTCATAATGTCAGTTCCCTCAACCAGTTTTCAGCCACAGATGAAGGACGTGGAACCTGTCCCAACGATGGCTGGTATACTCACCATGAATATCATGGATGTTCCTGCCCCTAAACAAGTGACGGAAGAAGTTCCCAATGAAGCAAGTGAAATGGAAGAGGTGAGCTTTCTGTTCAATTTTGTTACTTTGAGTTTTACATGCAGTGTGTTCAATTTGAATTTTCATATATGTGATTCTGACAGTCAACTACACACATTTCTGGCATCACCAGGCCTGTACAGTCAGTATCATTTAATTTGTTTTGAGCTTCAACTCCCGTCAATGTTACTGTTTTACATATATGATTATTTACAGGAAAAGGAAATACCACCCTCTATTATTGTGGAAAAATCTGCATTCACCAGCGAAAAGTCTATATTTATTGTGGAAAAACCTCCAGTTACTGCGGAAAAGCTTCCAATAATTTCTCCTGCTTTACAAGAAACCGACAGTTCGCTGCTAGAATCCATAGTATCACAACCACCGATATCCCTAGATATCAAGTTAGAAGAAACAGCAAAAGAACTGAGTAACATCAAGACTGGCACAAAAATTGCTGATTCTATTCTACAAAAGTTAAATTCCATCAAAAATGAAATGGAAAGTAAGCAGTCTCCAAAAAAGGAAGAACAGGAAGAAGAGGAGGAAGTTGAAGATGTAAAGGAGGAGAAAAAGATTGATTTCAAGTTTGAATTGGTAAGCGAGTTGAACATTGAAATTTTGTTGGCACTGTTATTAAGGCTGCATTTTTATTAGGCAACTACAGTTTCTAAGGAGGAGCCACCACCAGAAACGAAGGTGCCTGTTGAAGAAGAACCTGTTGTAGTGATAGAAGAGAAGCTGGAAGATGAGGAAGAAGTAGAAGAAGAGGCAGAGGAAATTCCTTTGCCTCCCATAGAAGAACCAGTAAAGGAACGGTCACCCAGTCCAAAATATGATGAACCTCCTGATCCGAAGAAGAGGAAAAAGTCTTTGGGGAAATCTTTCATTGAAGAAACTGACTCGGACAGTAGCGATTCTGAACAACTAGTTATTGCAAGATCAGACGAAGATTCACAAACTAACTCTATGGACATGAAACTTCCATTAGATCCTAAGGAGAGTGACAGCAGCAATATGTTCACACAACTACAAACCACTGATGATTCTCAGTCTCAAGAGGAAAGGAATTTCAATTTTGATGTTAAGGATGCTGAAAAGGTATGTGTAACAGTTGCCGATAAAAACTGTGTTTTATCTTTATAAACCTGCAAATCTTATTAAGGAGAACAAAATTTAGGCTAATAGGCTGTGGTGTAAAGTAACTTATAGTAATAATAATAAAGTATTTATTGTCATAATTTACAAAGACATTTACACACAAATGGACCAAGTATATTTAAAATTATATTAAGCATTCTCAAAAAACAAGGAGACCAATCAGAAACACCCAGCAGAAGTGCAGACTAATCAGGAACGAGCATTGTCATGGATAGTCCACGTTCACCAACTCAAACTAGTATAAATAGTTTCATAAACTACACCTCACGATTTGATCTCCACAAACTTTATTTGAAAAATATATCACAAGTTTCGCTAACACAGTGCTTCTTCAACATTGATTCAAATATTCAACAGTGATTTGAATATTCAAATAATTGTTGAAGAAGCTACTGTGACATATTTTTCAAATAAATTGTTAGGTGTAGTTTATGAAATTACTATGGATCTTCATCAAGTAGCAGACGAAATGTAATGAACTACAAGTTCTTCTTGACCATGCTCTTCCAGACCAAATTGTGTTTTCTCTTTAATTGTCACTCTACCCTATCAAGTCTATGTTCTTGTACTGCAGATCAGACTCTAGAATAACTTGAATTCAATGGAATTCCAAGTTACATGATTGCAAACTTATTGCGCATTATCTACTTTCAACTTCGTTTTTCTCTCATTGCGGACCCACTTCTGACACCATATTTTTGTTAAGTTATAAGTAATTTCATCACTTTAAAATTTACTCGCTATGATATGAATTTATTATTGAAAATCTTGTTAAGATAAAGGAACCTACTCCTCCTCCTCCACCTGTCAAAGAGGAAGAGAAAATAGAAGAGGCGGAGCCTCCAAAAGAAGAGGAACCTGATCCGCACTTACATTCTCTATTGCTCTGCGAGGAAGAAATCCCACGTAGTCCAGCGCCCCCTAGCGAGTGTCCCAGCGCCGAGGAACCGAAGCCGGTATTGAAATCTGTGCTGGAAATGCCTTTCGCAAGTGCACCCGGTACAAGCAACAGCAAGATAATGATTTTGGATCAAAAGGTAGATGATTTTTAGTGATTGAGTGTTGAGAGAAATTGTTGAACCATTTATTTGTTAGGTACTCCAACGTAATTCTCCACCCGTTTTGGAAATGCCTCTGGAAAGGGAAAACTGCAGAGTGGAGGCATCTACCGTTTTGGACAATACGCCACCCACCACTCCTGAGAGTACCATCAGCAACTTGTCTCCTAGAGAGTGAGTGATAGTAATGTATTTTTTTAACCATCTGGTTTTTATTAGTTTCTTTTTCATATTTTCATCGTAAAACATAAAATAGTGCTGAAAAACAAATGTTTGGATCGAATTCATGAAGTAATAATTGTGAAACTTTTTGCGAAGTACTTGTTACAGAGAGATCACGAACTGATTTAAATGTACTAGAACATACATGTTTCAAAATGAAATTTTTACAGTAATCAGTTCGTTATGTATGCTGATGACACAACTTTATTGATAACTCAGGAAAATATTAAAGCCCCAGTTAATAAAGCATCTGATGAAATAAAATAATACAATGCTGTTACACAAATAACAGATTATTTTTGGTTTTGACTATTATATAGTATGCACTTGTCCGACATTTTAATAATGATGCTGTTGCACAAATAGCACATTATTTTAGGTTTTGACTATTATATATTTATATTATCTATGTAAATTGTATATTGTGCCTCTAAGTGCACAAGTGTATTTTTAATTTACGTTTTGACATACTCAATGTCATCTATAGATGATCAAACTCAATAAATATTATTATTAGAAATCTTTCAAAAATGTTCATCGGGGAATTTGATGAAGAAAATTGCAACCCTTGGTTGATTGTAGACATTTTGAGATCGATAATCGGTAATCAACCTACCTGTATAACCTGTATAATCGGTATATTTGATTAGTGCGTTCAAGTAACACTTTTTTTGTGAGATCCTTACTAAACAGTTTACAAAATCGCAACACGTGTTTCACTATGCAGTAGCTTCCTCAGGCAATTCCTCGGAAAATGTTAAATTTGACAGGTCCAGACTAGCAACTAAAGTGGGACTAATATTCAGTCATCTTTCAAGCACAAACTAAGCAAAATCAAATTTCAATTATATATCTATTGATAAAAAAAGACCCGTATGGTAAGGGCTTTTTATATAAATATTTGTTGGCTACAGTACGTTCATTTCGTAAAATATAAAATAATATATAAAAATGGAATCGCATACCCTTTTTCAATAGTAAAACTTAAATTTATCTTTTAGCGAAATTGGCGGATTATCTCCCAATGCTGGTGACAATGAAAGCTGCAAATCTAACGATATTGAACCTGAATACCCCAGACAAAGAACATCATCTATTAAGGTGTCTCCCTACAGTGAAGAAGATACTCAAATGACTGGCGAGGGAACTTTGAAGAAATTGAAAGATCTCGTGCCGGCTTCTTGCAGGAAACGGCGAAAATCTTTGAGAAATTCCGACGACACGATGCCGAGTATCAAGAGGTGTAAGAAATCGCATAACAGATCGAGGCACAACAGTGATAGCGATGACACGTCGGAACATTCGAACACAGGCAGTACTAAGATACCATC